TTGAAGGAACTGATAAGCAATACTGACACTATTAACTCTGAAGGGAGAAGGGGGGTGTGCTGGGCTGGCCTTCTTCCTTTCCAATTTGTGTGCCTTTTTTTTTTTTTTTCCTTATTGCAAAGGCTAGGACCCTCAGTACACTGTTAACTGAAAGTCGAGAGCAGACGTCCTTGCCCCATTCTTCAGGAGTGTAACATTCAATCTTCACCGTGAAGTACGATATTGGCAATAGGTTTTTGTAGATGCCCTTTCTCAGTTGAAGATGTTCATTCTATTCTTAATTTGCTGAGAGACGTTGTTAAAATTATGACTGGATGTTGGATTTTTGTCAAGTGCATTTTCTCCATCCATTGAGATAATCAGATGTTTTTTCACTTTTCAGTCTCTTAATTTGGTGAATTACATTGACTGATTTTGAAATGTTAAGCCAACATTACAGACTTGGGATAAACCTCACTAGTGCTAGTACTTTTTTTCTATTTACTTTTGGTCTTGTTTACTCTTCTTTTTCTAGTATATAAAGGTGAGAGCTTAGGTCATTGAGTTGAGACCTTTCTTCTCATCAAAAGAGTTAAGTATTTTTAAAAATTAATTTTCCATCTAAGTATTACTAGGTGCATCCCACAAATTTTGATTTGTTTTTTTCAATTAACCACTTTTTCATTTCCCTTTTGATTTGTCTTTGATCTGTATTTTATTTTGAATTATGTTTAGTTTCCAAATATTTTGGGGATTTTCCAAATATCTTTATCTCCTTGGTTTCTATTTTACTTCCATTGTGATCCGAGAAATACTTTGTACAGTTTGAATTCTTTTAGTTTTACTGAGATATATGGCCTGTCCTGACAACGTCCCATGTGCACTGAGGAGACTGTGTATCTGCTGTTGTTGGGTGGAGTGGCCCATAAATGCCAGGTCAAGTTGGTTGATAGTGTTAAGTCTTATATATCCTTGCTGGCTTTTCCAATTTGGAAAATTTTCAGTTATTTCTTAAAAAAAATTTTTGTTACCTCTCCCACCTTTCATTCTGTTTCTGTGCCTCCAGTGTGTGTGTACATGTATGAGTGTGTTGTACGTGCATGTGTGTCTTCTGTGTGTTTCATTTTGGTAGTTTCTATTGTTATGCGTTCAAGGTTACTAATCTTTTATTCTGCAATCTCTCGTCAGTTGTTAATCCCACTTTTTCATCTTTCCCACTTTTTTTTTTTTTTTTTGAGGAAGATAGCCCTGAGCTCACATCTGCTGCCAATCCCCCTCCTTTTGCTGAGGAAGATTGGCCCTGAGCTAGTATCTGTGCCCATCTTCCTCTACTTTATATGTGGGACGGCTGCCACAGCATGGCTTGCCGAGCGGCGAGGAGGTCCACACCCAGGATCCAAACTGGTGCACCCCGGGCCACTGAAGCAGAACGTGCGAACTTAACCACTGTGCCACAGGGCGAGCCGTCTTCTTTCCCACATTTTTATCACGAGATCACTTTGGGTCTTTTTGTCTTCCATCTCTCCTTAGCGTGCTCCATCTTTCCTCGACCTTTTCAAACATATGAAGTATATTTGTGTTTTATTGTCCTTGTTCTGTAATTCTATCATCTGTGTCATTTCTGGGTTTGTTTCTGCTAGTTTTTTCTCTTCATTATGGAATTATCTTTTCCTGCTTCTTTGTACAGCTGGTAATTTCTGTTTCTCAGGCATTTTAAATTTTATGTTACTAGGTAAGATACATATATGTATATACGCATACACACATAGGTAATATGTGTAACATACATTTCTATACACATGTTTTTTCCTGGAATACAACTAAGTGGGAAACATTTTGATTCTTTCCAGGCTTTTAACGTTTGGTAGGTGGAACCAGCTCAGCCTTTAGTTTTGGGCTAATTTGTCCCCAGAGTGGACACAGTAACTTTGCAAGTACTCTTCCGGATGCCCCAGCTACCACCAGTTCCCTGTGGCTGTTAGGAGCATGGCCTCCGCCCAGCCCTGCACAAGCTCCAGGAGGTGGTCCGTGTGCTTCCTTCCAGTGGTTCTGTGCTTGGCCTTGGCCGTCTCACAGGCATTTGCTGATCCCGCTCAGCTGGACTTGAGGAGAGCCCTCTGCAGAATGGAGCTCTTTCCTCTCCAGTACTTGTCTGTTATGGCCTCCCCCAATTCTCGATTCTGCTTCCTCCGCTCAAGGAGACTGCAAAGCTGAGCGAGTTCCTCCCCCCATGAGAGCCTGCAAGCTCGCTTCAGGCAGGAAGCCGGGCTGACTGCAGGGCTCTTGTTTGTCTCTCTCTTCTGAGATCTGTCTTGTGTGCCTCTTTCCCAGTGTCTGGAAGCTGCCCCCCCTAATAGTTTGTCTAGTTTTTAATTACTTAAGACAGTGGGAAAAACCAGTCCTTGTTGCTCCGTCTTGTCCAGAAGTGGAAATGGCTTGTTGGACTTTGAATGTCTCACAAATGTTGTTTCTGCTGACTAATCAGTAAGCATATACTGAGTGGCCCTGTCCCTGAGTGTGAGGGAACAAACTCCCACCCTCCACTGGAAGTCAGGACATCCTGCACTCAGTTGGCAGCCAATTTTCATTTCATTTTTTAAACAACTGACCAGGCAGAGAATCTTACTCCCATGATTTTTGTAAGGCTTCTAGTATCTCAAAAATCTACTGCAAACATCTTTAAAGCTAAATTAATTTCACTAAAATAGGGAAAAAGTACAACTTGTACTACTTGAGGCAAAATACTTGGAAATGAAGAACACTCAAGATATGTTGGGTTGCAAACTAATGGTTTAGGAACTAAAAACTCCTTGTCCACTTTCAAAGGGAGAACTTGAACTCTCCAGCTTCCCAGCAGGTCAGATGGTTCCCAAAAGGCATCCTGGGTTTGGCCTCATTAGCAGGTGGTTCCCATGCTGGCTGCAACCTGCCTCCTTTGAAGGGCTCCCTGAGCAGGAATGCGGCCCAAGAAATGGAGGTGGGCTCTGAGGAGCATCTGAAGCCCCTGTCCCATCTTGTATTAGAAAAGAGAGAGCCTCTCTGCTGCTGAGGCAGCCCCACTCAGATCTCCTGCAGGGAGCTGGCTTCCAGTTCTCCTCTCTCCAGTGAGGCCCGGTGAACAGCATGCAGCTTCCCACCTGCCATCAGCTTTGCTGAACTTGTCCGTTTGCCACGTAACTAACTGCTGTAAGAGCTACAAGGATACTACTGTGCTACGTATGGGAAGCAAGAAAATAACCTGAATCCTTCAGTGTCATGATGGTGAATGTGTACAATCTTAGGAGAAAATGAAGGGACTCAGGTCAGCATGCCTTCACATCATTTTCAGAATGACTTCTGCACAATGTGTGCCCTATTTTTTTATGAGAACGGGGAAATACAATCGGTACCTTGAAGCTATGTGAAAAGTATACCAAGAGCTTCAACGTGATTCAGAAGGGCAGACCCTCAACCAGCAAAAAGATGAATACGCACATGAAAATAAAGCAAGGAATCAGAGTGACCTCTTAGAAAGGCCCTTCTCATGTTAATCTGAACCTCTAGCTTTCGGTTGAGGAGGCTGGGGCAGTTCTGCTGGGTCTGAGGGCAGCTGGCGGGACTTCCACAAGCCCTTTACCTGCACAGCCTGCTCTCCGGGCCTCGTGATGATGCTGGTGATGGGTTTCACTGATATACCACAGTGCCTTTTGCACCATGCTTCTCAGTTAGTGGAGTCTTCCCATGCAAGGGGTCTACCTGAGAGACAGAGCTGAGAAGGCGCCACACCTCTTGCAAATCAGGAAACGGAAGTTTCAGAACCAAGAACGGCTGAGTGACTTGGCCATTGTCCCATGGCAAGGACCCAGGAAGAACAAAAGGCTTCTAATTCCGAATCCAGTGTTCTTCCTGTGGGCATGCGCTGCCCCTCCAGGACTGGTGGGAGAGACCGCGGCCAGTTCTCGGGCTGATGCTTTGATCGTTCTGCTCCACTCAGCACCCGTCGTGCCCACCTGTCGTGTACAGCTTTGTGCTAAGTTTCCCACAAGGGCAGCAGGGCCTAGAGCATGGCGCTGGCTGGCGTGGCCTCTGGGGAGGATATGGGAAGTTCCTCATTACTGCCTGGTCTCATTTGCTACTTGCTTTGCTAACTATATTCTTGCAAAAAGCAGCATAAATCACTTCAGTTAATGTAGAGATGGGCAAAAAACTGCTGAGCAATGTTCCTGCGTTCTGGTTCTCACAGCTTTCGCTCTGGGGGTGCCTGGCGTACAGTGTCGCCTCAGTCCTGAAGAGCAGAGGTCCTGGGCTTCAGACTTTCAAAGTGGTTGTGAAGGCTGTAGAGTCTTTCACAGCCAAGCCTTTGACACGAGTTTATTAAACTACAGATTAGACAGTAATGAGTTTTCATATGACCAAACCATTGAAGGAAATTGACACTAGTTTATTTCCTTGAAAAGTGAAATACAAAAAACAAGTTTATCAGATGGCCGGCTATCTCCTGCACTGATTTCCAACCGCCCCTTTTCAGATTGAACCAAATTGGAAATTTAGACCAAAGAGTTATGTATTATTCATCTTCTGACTGACCGACTGTGTTTGTCAGTCTTCTAAATTCAAGCTCGATGAGAGCAGTGGTCTGGATGGCACGCGTACGGAGGACGTCAGAAGCAGGCTCTCACGGTGAGTCACTCTGAGGCTCCACAGCTACATCTGCTTCTCAGTTGTTCCCGCGTGTCACCCGCAGGGTGTGCAGCATCTTAGGCAGGTCGCCCTGAATTACCCACAGCCTGGACCCCCCCCAGTTTACAGGAGGCCGGTGCACATGCCTCTCCCACGGCACTGCAGGGGCTGTAGGGTGACCACTGGTCTCCTCTTGAGACCGTGATACATGTCAGGCTCGCGTTCAACTCTGTGAACCAACACCTGGCACAGAGCAGATACTGAAAAATTTTGATGTGACCAAAATTGTACATAGAAAAAAAGAGACGTATACCAATATTTTACTTTAAAGTCTTTTTTCTTTTTCCTAACTTTTCACAAAGGATTTGCTGTAAGCCTTCAAGTCATCTTGTCCAATCCAAAAGCTGTGTTTAAGCGGCATGGATCCCAGCCGGGGATGCAGGAGTCTGACTTTCTAAAACAGATAACAACAGTCGAAGAACTGGAACCAAAAGCCAGTAACTGTACCAAGGTACTCATTTCACTTGTGCTGCCTGACCACGGCGAGGGTCGGCACTGTGTGGCTACCAAAGGTCTCCCTCCCCTTAGGTCCTCGTCTGGCACACTCGGACTGAGAAGGTTAATCTAGCCAACGAGCCAAAGTACCACCTGGACACAGTGAAAATTGAGGTGTGAATGCCGCAGCACCTGGTGCCATGTGCCTGGCCAGCAGGCGTGGAAGAGGACGCAGGGTGGCCAGGCTGCAGAGCCTGCAGGTACTGTCCACTCCAGTACGACAGCCTCGGTCGTCACCTGGCGGACATCTGCTCACGCAGAGCTTGTCAGCTGACATCAGCCAGCTGGATGGTATACGGTGTCTGTTTTTGTCTTCGTTGTTCTGCATGTTCTCCCTCCAACCAAACTGGAAGATGTATGTACAGCTCAGTGACACTGCAGGGACCATTCTGAGTGTTGCGTACAGTACAGCTCAGTGACACTGCAGGGACCATTCTGAGTATCTCGTAAAGTACAGCTCAGTGACACTGCAGGGACCATTCTGAGTATCTCGTAAAGTACAGCTCAGTGACACTGCAGGGACCATTCTGAGTATCTCGTAAAGTACAGCTCAGTGACACTGCAGGGACCATTCTGAGTATCTCGTAAAGTACAGCTCAGTGACACTGCAGGGACCATTCTGAGTACTGCGTACAGTACAGCTCAGTGACACTGCAGGGACCATTCTGAGTATCACATACAGTACAGCTCAGTGACACTGCAGGACCATTCTGAGTATCACGTACAGTACAGCTCAGTGACACTGCAGGGACCATTCTGAGTATTGCGTATACTTGTTTTCCCATTTGGCCTTATAATTGGTGGAAGTGAACAGGTTTCAGAAACAGATGACTGGTATTTCATCATCTAAATGTTCCCAATTCCTGACTTTGCAAGGTTAATTTTTGTAAGGTTAGTGGTAGTATACATCGTAGGAAATAAAACCCACAGAAAAAAGGTCTATGGATTCATCTGTTTAATATAGGGCTATAACATTTGTCAATACTAGGCACCATAAAATGTAAACACAATTACTGTCATAAACCTGGATATACCTTCAAGAAGTGAAAGTGGCTTTGTTTGGTTACCCTGTTTGCGTATAGCGCAGAGAAAGGTCTTCATGTGAGCACTATGTATAGAAGAGATCCAAATTAAGAGAGAGGCAGATAAAATCTGAATTCTTTCAACATTCGTTAAGGTACGTTTTGCAGGAACATCCAGGTTTATCTTCCTTTCACTAACCACGTTCCCTGTTAAGCACATCGTAACCACAGCACAGTGAAGTGAATGATGAAATCAGGGACTCTGGATACACCAGGAAACAGTGCTCAGTGACACACTGACATTCTATTTATATGATTACACATTTGATCGTACAGTACCTTCCTACAGGATTACGGGCTAATCTGGGGTGGGGCTTATACTGTTAGAGGTATTACTAACATGATAACTACTTCCCTTATATGCAAACATTAGATCTATAATTTTATCGAGAGTAAAACTGATTATGCAAGTTGACTGAGCAGCTTCTCAAACAATGTGGTTTATGAAATCATGGGAAACATGAGCAAAGCTGCCCTGGACACAAAATGGTTTCTCAACCTGCTTTTCACCACATCAGATTAAATCAGGACAGACCACATGGCCAATCAGGTAATTCTTAATATGAACAAATGGGGGAAAAGAAAAAAATATTATGTACATGAATAAACAGGGGACTCGATGCGCTCCAGCGAGGAGTGTCAGGCGGTGTGCTGGAGGAAGCTTGCGCTGCAGTTTTCACTTCCACAGCTGCGTGCTGAGAGTCTGACCCGATGAGCTTCCGGACCATCCTGCCGTGGTGCTGGGGGGCTGGCCGAGGCCCACAGGAGGGTTCGCCCCGAGAGTCATGCCAGCCATCTGCTGACTCATCTGTGAGACACAGAAGGCTCAGTCTAAGAGGCTTGCATCAGTCCTCACCCTTGTTTCCTTAGCCACAGTTAGACATTTGTAATAGTCACCCTGTTTTATTAGAAGAGATACTGAAATTTAACAGCAATTATAGTGTTTTTCATCAACATGAAAATCAGTCAAAGCCCTGGGTACAAGCAACAACATACAATTATTCCTGTACAGAAAGCAAAGAGCTACTCTGTTCCCTTCTTAGTCTTTATTTTCTTCCACTTTTTAGCCTGTCCATAAAGTGATCTCAATGTATCTATTCATCTTTTAGACTCAATTTCTTGTCCCCCAAAGATCAGCCACAACCCCAAAAAATGTACCAAAGCAATCTTTGAATTTGTATATGGTTATACGACGAGTCCACTAGTGTAACTTTCAACTGTACTAGGATATTGTGCTTTAACTACTAAGGACTAAGGACATTCTAGAAAGTGCAATAGTCCAAAATTATAAATTGCACATGATTGCTGTTAGAAATCTCAAACGGCTCTATATACTTACTTTCTGAGTATTACAAACCATGGTCATAAGGCATACATTTTTTCTTTTGCTTAGCTAACCACATAAACATCTAAAATTAACTTTCATTATATGGTATAAGGTGTAAGATTACATGTATTTTTCTTCCAGACTGGAGTCCTGTTTGTATAGAAGCATCTTAACCCTTCCCTGTAGTTCTCTTCCTTCCAAGATTGATGATAAGTGAAGGGAAGGCAAGAAGATTTACCACACAGCACAGAGCAGGTTAAAAACCTGGGCTCAGGGTTGGACTATATTCTTAATAAAGACACTAAGATTAACCATGCCACTGATCATGCAGAAGTGTCTGAAGGGGCAGATCACTTCTTCATACCCACTAAAGGAGCTTTAACCACCTGTCGCTGGCCAGCAGGTCCCACTGAGGGAGACTGGAGGAGGACAGCGCTCCCCTCAGCATGATGGAGCAAGGGCTCACCCCGCACCTTAAGCTGAGCAGGTGTGCTTCAGCATGCTGCCTACACGGAAGCTGCTCCTGACATTTCGTACTTACAATGTCTGCGATTCCCAGAGAGTGGAGACCAATGTGATACAGCTACTCCTTTAAACGATGACAGTAAAAGTAACTTGCAGCATCATGGGGCAATACTGACCATTCCCCACATGCCCTCCAGGTAAAGCAGCTGCTAGAGCAGAAACCCAGATCAGCAAACTGAGAGCACAGCAAGCAGCACGTGCGAAGGGGAGCAGGAGTGCGAGCCTGGGCCATGGAGCCAGGAGTCAGGGGGCCCTCAAGGAGGAGTGGGTTTGAAGGAGGGAATACTGAAACATCAGCTCTTGGCTCTAAACTAATAAGTAGAAACAAGATTTTGTATATGAAGGGATGGCTAAGACAAATGTGGGCTTGTTCACATCTTATGGGAATTCTTGAACTAGTGATATTCTTTTTAAACATAAACATAATACAACTCTACAAAAATTTTTGGAAAGATTTTTATAAATCCATGGCCAGAAGCCACATGACATGCAGAACAGCCTAAATCCCTCATAAAATAGCACTTTGAGAATATGAGGCCAGATCTCTTTTCTAATTTGTGAGTTATAAAAAACCCAAAAAGAATTAGTAAAGCTAGTCGGTCTAACTGCACTATAACAACGCCCCAACACATTAGGAGCTGCGTTAGGGCCTTGTGCTAACGTAAAGGGGCAGACAGGGAGTCTCCGAGGGTCCCCAAGATGACTTCCACTGCTACAGTCTGAATACTCTCAATACAGGGCCAAGGACGGCTCATCTGTCTATCTGATAGAAGTTCAGGATATCTATAGACACTGTGACCTTATACAATATCCCTACTCAATTCTTTCTGCTAGATCGTTAGATTTAAATACAAATAAAACCATTTAGAAACTGAATCTGGTTTCTCTGATTTTGGAGAAATTGGAGAGTAAATGACCCCTACCTGAGAGAGGTTCCACTGGGGCTGTTGAGCTTGTGGCAGGCCAAACTTACTCTGGGGCACACCCATCTGGCCCACCATTCCTCCCTGGGCGCCAACAACGTTCGGAGGAAGGGGCATCACACCAGTTTGTGCGTTTCCCATGAACCCATTGGGCATGGGCATGGGCATGCCCACCATCATGCTTGCGCTCTGTCCCATCATACTTCCTATAAGGCCAGGAGCTGCAGGCACAGGTGCGCCCATTGATGGAAAACCTTGAAAAGCAGTTGGTGCTTGTGAGGTAAATGGTATATTTGTGGGTCCCATAAACACACCTGCATCATAAGAAGCAAGAAAAGAAAATGAAGAAAACAGCTGTTATATCCAGGTGCAGCACTCACCTCTGTAATCAAAGAAAAAGCATTACCACCTTTCTGAACTACCCACAGAAAAAATCTAATTCCAGTCTGGCTGCTCCGCCTCCTCAGACCCACTCACACCTGCACCTTCAGAGCTGTTATGTCCCGAATGCAGACACATCAGTTGTTAACCTGAGCAAGTTTAATTTGGATAAAGGAATCCTACGCAACAGCTACAGAAAGCGCCCACTGTGAAACCAGGAGACCACGTGCTGCCTCTGCGACCTGCTCCACTGGCCCCTCCACCAGAGACGGAGCTGACTGTGTCTGCAGTTAATGGAAGCAGCTGGGATGTCACAGTTTCAGCTTCTATGTGAAATGCAGCTCATTATTTTAGACGAAATGGTCTGACATTAAAACTGTGTAAACAATAAATCTTACCATGCTAGTATTTCACTATAATCATTTAAAAACACCCAAAGCTTTTTTGGAATCCATGTGATAGTTCAGACTGTGGTGTTTACTTGCAGAGAAAATACCATACTGTACACAAAGTTATAAATTTCATGTAAATCCAATTTAAGTAATTCTTCAAAGATAATCCATGCCCTGTAAGCTTGTGAAACAATATTAAGTATTATGTGCACAGCTTGTTAATTCGAATGAATAAAGTTTTGTGAATCCTGTACATGCTTTTTAATTTTAACGCCTCATTCGGTTCAGTTTTGTAGTTGTATAAATTGCAACAACAAAAGCACCCACTACATAGACAAATAGGTAAGAAATATAAGTGATATTATCATAACCAGAAAGGATATCCTTTTAGTAACGTCACTGCAATTCACTGAAAGCAGACTTCAAGCTGAATTACCAGCACTCTGCTGCGGAAGGGTCCCTGTGCCATACAGAGACAAGATGGAGTCCTTGGAGAGCTGTTTCTTTGCCACCTCTTCTGATTTTGTCGTTTGCTCAGTGAAGAGATCCAGATCCCCAGAGGTTACTGTAGACAGAGCAGCAGCTGCTGGTACAGAGGACGTGCCCTAAGACAGACACCAAAACAAGCACTAAAACAAAGCTCATCCGTCACCTAAAGTCCAAGTGAAGTTATGACACTAGGCAGAAAGTAAACAACTGTGGAAGGTAAAACGGTGACGTTAGAGAGATCATTCCACAAGCCCACACACGAAAGAACAACATCGAGGATAAAGGCACAATGTTCCTACCCTGAACCTGTTCACGTAGCAGAGGTAGATCACAGCTCTTTCGTAATAAACTGCGTTCACCTGCTAGACTAACAGTTTCTGCCCATCATATCCCAACCACATGGTATGTGGCTCCTGCCTGAGGACCACCACTCCCGGGAGAGCCTCAGGCATCCTCAGCAACCAGTGCTTCAAGGAACTGGTGTCCCTTCCTTGGAATAAAGAACATTTCTACAACTACAGCAGACTGCAACCGGCTCCTGTAATGGCTGATTTTGTCTGTTTTGCAGGGGGGGCTTGTTTCCCAAAAGATGCATTGTGATATTTTTATAAGCCTAATCTAAATCAGTTTTTTTTTTTTAAGATTGGCACCTGAGCTAACATCTGTTGCCAACTTTTTTCCCCCTTCTTCTTCTCCCCAAAGCCCCCCAGTACATAGGTGTATACTCCAGCTGCAGGTCCTTCTAGTTGTGGCATGTGGGATGCCCCCTCAGCATGGCCTGATGAGCGGTGCTAGGTCAGCGCCCAGGATCTGAACCAGTGAAACCCTGGGCCACCAATGTGGAGCAGGCAAACGTAACTGCTCAGCCATGAGGAGGCCTCTGGGTCAGTTTTACCCACCTGAGAACACTTCTAGTCTATCCAGAAATGAAGCACAGCAAACATCAGCCACTACACTCTCGACCCTAGCTTGCACTCCACTTTCAGACAAGGGGTGAATGAACATAAATGCAAATAAACTGCAGAGATTTAA